TCTCCTCCGCCCCCACCACCAAGCAGGCCCCCCAGAAGGCCCCCTCCCCCGCCACCTCCACCTCCGCTTCCACCAAGCAGCCCCCCCAGCAAAGGCCCGCCACCGTCACCACCGGCTTTACCCATGGGCACCTCCCTCAGGGCCGAGCGGAGAGCGTCACTCTGCTCCAGGGTGCCCGAGATGGCTGCGGAGAGGCCGGGTGTCAGCCAGGGGTGCCCGCCCCCGCCATGGCCCTGCTCCCTGGCTCTGCAGCCCGGGGGCTCCCATGGCCCCTAGGTTTGGACACCCTTCAGCCAAACCCTGATGGCATCCCTTTGTCACCCTCCCTCCCAAGTGTTCCACGGCTTTAAAAAGTCCATCTCCTCCTGCGCCATCCGTTCCCGGGAAACCGTCAGGGCCAAGCACCTCAGAGGAAATCATCTCATTTTTATTGTCACGACCGCCCGGGATTGGGACAGGCAATGTGTCCTCATATGCCAGATGACAAAGTAAAGACCTGAGCCCTGGAGGCAGGGATTACAGGTCCCACCCTTGGGGCCCACCAAAAGGTCACATTCACAGAGGGGCACCCAGACGTCAAGTCACAGGTCCTCCTCTCAGTCTTTGGAGATACGGACACCTGTGCCCACTTTTCAGACGAGGACACTGAGGCTCGGGGAACTCAAGTCAGGGATTCAAGGTCACATAATCAGAATTGGAATCCCAGGAAGGCCGACTCCAGAACCCAGGTCCCTGACCACCTCTCTACTGTCCGGCCACTTGATGTGGAATCTGCCAGTCAGGGAGGGTCCTTGGGTACCTGAGCCCACCCTGCCCAACCGAGGCTACCCGGCCCCCTGGGCTGGACTCACCATTGCTCAGCACGTCTTTGGTGACCCTGAGGACTGTGTTTGTCTCTTGGCGGCTGCCACCCACAGCGGTCACAAACAGGGCAGCCACACACCATGCTGTCCACATGCTGGTACAGCTTCCTCCTGGGGAGAGGGTGCACCCTGTGACGGTGGCCCAGCCGTGCCATCCCCCTGGCCAGCAGGCAGAGTTAGACCCCCCTCGGCCAAGACTGGGATCCAACCCGAGACCCAGGGCCAGGGGAACTGACCGGGGAAGCTAGCATAGCAGACACGGCCAGAATCCCCCACGCCACCTTCCAACTTTTCCAACTGAAATGAGTCTGGTGACACAAAACAGCGCCATGAACTGAACCATCCCAGATCAGGGACGACTGATTGTCTCCCAAGATGGTGTCCACAGACTGAGTTGCTGGCAGAGGGACAATGGGGATGCCAACAAAAACAGAAAACTGTAGCAGACAGGCTCTGGGGACATGTGTCCAGGGTTTCCCCATCTGTCCACCCACCCACCTCTCCACTCACCCATCTCCTTCAACCCACCCAGCCACCCGTCTATCTGCCCCTCCACCCATCGTCCACCCGTCCTTCCATCCATCTTGCCTTGGGGCCATCCACTCACCCACACATCCCTTTGGCCACCTTCTGAACCTCCTGCAAACACCCCTAAACCTCCTTGGAGAACTCAGTTCTATTCCACGTGGTTAAAACCCTTGGGCGCCTGCTTGCTGGTGGCCGGGACGATGTGTCTAGGACACAGCAACCTTCAGTCCACCGCAGCTGATGCTTTTGTTTGGGGACTCTCCTACCAGAACTGGGCAGGGAAGGCTCTGAGCCTGGAGGGGTCACACGCGTGTTTTGGGGTGATCTGGTTGACATCCGGTGACCTCCGTGTTGCTGCCCTCTGCCCGCCTCTCCCACTCCCTCTTCCCAGGCCACATTCGCCAGCCTCGGAGAGCAGAGTGGGACCAAACTGAAATGGTCAGTTTCAGTCTACTCTCTCCTCTTTTCCTTGTTTCCATTCTTTTGAATTCCAGGGAGTCTCCACGCTTCCCCTTCCATCTGCTCCCAGGAAAGTGTGGGAGACGCTTAATTATACTACAATGTGAAGGGCTGACACGTTCAGGTGGTTCCTCACCTCCCCAACCCTAGTGCCCAGAGAGCACTGTGGTCCAGACACAGTTAAAGAGATGGGCACCAGGGCAGGAATTTCCAGCATCAACCAGCAGCTGAGGAGTGTCAGGGAGGTAACAGATGTCCCGGGAAGTCAACGTCCCCGGGGAAGACCAGCAGGGCCCTGCTCACGCAGACACCTGGCCCGACTCGGGCCTTTTGTAGGTACTTTTGAGGTTGCAGGCAAGTTGCCCAAGCTCCGAGTCTGGGACATTCTCCTGGTCACCTCCCTGGCCTTGGCCTCCCTTGCTGGCCTGAACCCAGGAAAGGGAAGGGAGCCCTCCTTACCCCTGGAGGCCCCAGCAGCTCAGTTCTGAGGGTCCGGGTCACCAGGCCTCTGCTTTGGAATCTGGCCACGATGAGCCCTTATATAGCAGCCTCCTGGGCCCGGAGGGGGGCACCCCGTGTAATTGTGGGATCAGAATTACAAGGCCGGAACTCTGCAAATTGAGCATTGAGCCCCAAAACCACAAGGGCTTGTGGTTTGTGGCTAATTCCAAGACGTGTCGGCCCCGGATGGTGTCACATGAGCCGGGCTTTATCATGATTGCTCCTGGTCTGGGCCGTTTCTGGGAATCCTGGGTAGGCCCCAGATGGGAGGCTGTGGATTCTAACCCCAAGACAGGCTCTGCCCGTTCCAGGTGGCATGGAGGGCAGGCACTCAGCGCCAGGGGACCCAGCCTCTGCTCCTCAGGCTGCTGGGGACCAAGGCAGATGGACACGGCCCAGCTGCTCACAGTTAGGGTGTGTTCCAGGATCTAGACTTTTCCCCAAATATGTCATCATGACACCGTCACGCCAACAGCCAATGGAAGAACTGTCTGGGGGCGACCCGCGTGCCCATCAGCCCACACCAGCTGGCCACAGCTGCCGTTTGCCCTGTCGCGTGCCTGGTCTTACCGTCCACCCGGCCCCCAGCCCCTCTGTTATTTTTTATGCATTTCAAGGTCAGATGCGGACACCGGCCTTCGCCCCATGGTCGACCTCATCCACACGCACACGACGTCTTCCCTTCTGGGTCAAGTTCCCAGACTGTGAAATGTAGAGACCCTAAGCGGCCATTTGCAGAGTTTTGACAATCGTATGTCTCTGTGTCACCCACGCTCCTGCCACCACAGAGAGCATCTCCCCAGAAAGCTCCCTGCTTCCTGGTCCCGTCAATCCCGGCTGCCCCGGGGGCATCCACTGCCCCTCCAGGATCTGCAGGGACGGGCCCAGGCCCTCCCTTGGCATCCAGGGCTGTCCCCGCCGCCGCCCGCTCACTCCCCCGGTCCCCTTCGCGGCACCCCCGGGCCCCCTGCAGTCCTGCCCTCTGGGACGTCCTCCTTCAAATTCCACTGGTCAAGCTGTCACCCGCTACACAAAGCTTCCCACAGCGGCTCCCTTTCCTCTGGGCCACGGGGTCCCCTGGGCCCCCCACTGAGGTGGCCTTTCTCCAGGCAGACCAGGTGTGGCCTCCCACACAAGTGTCCCCCCTCCCTTGCTCTGGGGGTTCCCCAAGGCCCCCTGGGTCCCACCCCTGACTCAGGCCCAGCCCCTGTCCCTGGGTTTTCAGTGCTCCCTCTTCTCGGCCCCCTGCCACCTGCCACTTCTGAGGGACAGAGTGCTCTCTGTCCCTACCAAGGCCGGCCCTCAGGCTGCACCGAGTCCCGTGTTCCTGCCAGCCCTCCCCAGGCCACTTGCTCCCGCTGCTCCCAGGGAGGGTCTCCCACGGCCCAGCCGGGATGACGTCACCACCAGCCTCCTCTGTCCCTGGGGCCAGCCTCGCTCAGGCACACAGCTGCCCCATTGGCAGGGGGCACATAGAGGGCTGCTGTGCCTGCTGCTGTCCCTTCTCCGCTTCAGGTGACAAGATGGCGTCTGGGACCGTCCTGTCCTGCAAAGCTCTGAGAGCAGGCCCTGGCCTGCGGTGGGGCTCGGTGGATGGTGTGTTCTCGACACCCGGGGAGGCTCCGCGGCACGAGGAGGAAGCCCGGGCAGGGCTGCCTTACTGTCCCCTCGGGCACAGGCACCTCCAAAGTCACGCACGCCACCTGCACCTCCCTTTCTAGCAGGGTTTCCAGGATTAGGTAGGAAACTTCTAGAATGTTCCTGAAGCTGCGGTGAACTGTAGCCCCTCTCAGCTCCGCCGTGGAAGCAGCCGCTTCTGCAGAGGGGTCAGTTCGGCCCGACCTGCCCTGAGCATCACCCGCATGGCTGACTGTCCTCTGCACCTGTGCCCACCCGTGAAACAGGAGAGGGGCGGGCACCTCGCGGACACCGTGCTCTCTGAGTCCGCTGACCCGGGGCTCCTCGTTTAATGTCCCTGTGGCTCCCCATAGCAGGGCACTTGGTGTGACCGCACTTGGTGTGACCGCTTGCTGAACAAACATTACCCCTTCTAAACCCAAGTAAAACCCAGAGGGGCCTCTCCCCACCTCTGGGCGCAGGGACCAAGTGGCACTGCCAACAGCAGAGGGCAGTGTGGGCACAAAGGGCGTGTCAGTCACCAAGGCTCCGTCCACCCTCGGCCCTGAGACCTGCCAGTCCCTGGTGGCCATCAGCTGATCTGTCCCCTGGGCTGGCCCTGGCCATCCTGAGAGGATTAGCACAGCCCTGGCGCCAGGGAGATCGCCCGGGCTTAGCACCCCAAAGGCCCCTTTGTTTGGAGCTGGGGAGCCTGTGGGGGCTGGACGGAAGGACTTCCAGGTTCCCTGGGAGGTGGTTCACCTTGAGGGTGACTCACCCATGCAGGGGGCCAAGTGGGCATGTGTGGGGTCACACAGGGGTTGCCGAGATCAGGAAACAGACCCACATCCACCACTGGCCCCTCCCTCAGCCCTCACCCCCCCCCTCATAAAAGGGGCTCCGGAGCTGAGTGCTGGGGGAGCTGAGTTCAAATCCCAACCTGTCACTGCCTGGCTGTGTGGCCTTGGTCCACCACTTAACCTCTCTGTGCCTCAGTTTCCTCAAATACAGGGTGAAGGTAAACACAGTTCTTAGAAAGCAGGACTGATGTGAGAAGTTGATGACATAATGCACTTAAAGCTTCTAGAAGCCTCTGTGAGCAGAGTCAGAGCAGCAAGGGCGCTTTTGGAGCAGGACCTGGGCTCTGAAATCAAGGTCATAAATTCTGCTTAGAATCCTGCTCTCCCCCTTAGAGGCTCTCTGATTCTGCTTCTCAAAGCCTCAGTCTCCTTACATGTAAAATAGGATGTAAAGCATCTGACACCGTGTCTGGTATACAGTAGGTGCTCAATAAACATCAGTTGCTCTCACCACTACTCTATGCAGGTACTGGACTCACCATGGCATAGCTCTGACCCTGACCTTGAGGAACTCTAGGTCAAGTGGGAGAATCAGCCAGGGCAGTGGCCAGGTGGGGCCTAATGGAGGGTCTGGCTCACAGGGCCCCACTCTCACTGTGGCCGAGTAGGTTCCTTACTGTGGCTTCTTATAAAGGCCAAGTTCACCCCCCTCTGTTCTCTCTCTCTTCCCCTTTGCCCTTCTGCCTTCTGCCATGGGATGACACAGTTCAAGAAGGCCCTTGCCAGATGCTGGTACCTTGATCTTGCTCTTCCTGGCCTCCAGAACCGTGAGCCAATAAATTTCTTTTCGTTAGGAATCACCCAGTCTCGGGCCCTCTGTCGTAGTGGCACGGAACTGGCCAAGGCAGAGCCAGAGGAGCAGAGGCAGTTCTGCCCCCTCCATGCCCAGCCAGGGGCCTGGTTACAGGCCTGGAACCTGACCCGGGGACTTGGGCCACTTCCTGTTAGAACTCGGATCCTGTAGCTGAGGCTGTCAGTGGACCTGGATGTCACATGAGGGCAAGAATGAGTGCGGCCAGCGGGTGGGAGAACCGGGGGATGGGGAGGAGGTGGCACGGTGCTTGTGACGGCCACCAGCGGGAACGGGGTGCTCTTGCTGATGAGGTGCCTTCCTGGGCGCTGGTGAAACCCTCACGACCCTGTGACTGCATCTTCCTGGGTGACTTCCTGGGTGACTGGCGAAGACACTGGGACTCAGATGACAGTGACCTGCCGGATGTCACATGGCCGTCCAGCAGCCGCTCACTGAACCACGTGGGAATCAGGAGCCCCGGGGAGAAAGCAGTCAGAGATGACCTCCACCACGACACGCTCACTGGGGGGGGGGGGGGTACCAGCCACACGAGGGAGGGAGGGCACAGGAGGGAGAAGGGAGGGACGGTGGCCTCAGGGCTGCTCTTCCTGGTGGACAGACCTTCAGATGGGCTCCAGCCCTCCACTTCCTGTCCCAGCCCAAATCCTCAGAGCCAGTCACCAAGATTTCAGGGGCACTCTGCCCTCAGGCCCACCCCCACGTGCCAACAAGGGCCGCTCCTCACCAAGGAGGCCCGTCCTGAGCAGCCGACTGCACCCAGGACCCGGGGGCAGGACCCAGCTCTGCCTCCGTGTGGCCTGCAGCTGGCCAGGCCCTGCTGGGAGGCAGCTGTCCCCGGGCACCAGGGGCTCTTCCCCTATGGGTGTGTCCAGGTCAGCTGTCCAGCCAACGAGGCCTCAGGGCAGGGCCAGCCTCACTCATTCCCGCCTCCTGGAGGGCCGGCTCCTCTTCTCCCTGGAGGGCTCACAGCCACCCTTCAAAGTCCAGCTGAGAAGTGTCCCCAAGTCAGAGTCAGAGAGGGGCGTGGGCTCAGACTCAGAGCCAAAGATGGAGAGACGGAGGAAGAGGAGGAAGAGGAGGAGGGGGGCAGGAGGAGAGAAGGGTCAGGAGGAAGGCAGGACGGGCACAGAGGCTACCCAGGCCAGCCAAGGGCTCCTCCTGCGGCTGGGGAGGACATCGGAGGCCGAGGCTGGGGCCAAGGTGCCCTGTGTGACTGGGGAACAGAGCAGTCGGAGGCACTGAGATGGAGGAGCGGTTTATTGAAGGCTTGGGACTCGCACTGAGGCCTGGGGACTCTCTGAAGCAGTCCCAGCCCAGGCCGAGGCCAGGCTGAGTGGACCTGGGTGCATAGGGACACTTATACTGTCACCAACACAGACGAGAGACCGGAGGGAAGCTGAGGCCAAGGGGCAGGTGGACAGGGCTCTGGAGGTCATGGTGGGGGGTGGAGGCCACCTCAGTCTCAGGACGCCACCGTCAGTACCACAGCGTTCTGCCGGGAGCAAGAGTGCCCAGTGAGGCCCTCGGGACCTTGTACCCACGTCCCTGCCTCGCCCCTGTGCTGGGCCACCGGTTATCCCCACCTCCACCCTGGCCAGCACTGACGGCAGTCACTCATTGAATGACTGCGTGGACAAATGCAGAAATGGTGGATAAGGGACCCCCCAATGTGGGACAAGTGGCTGATTTAAGAGACCCAAGTTCAAGTGCCGTTTCTGCCACAAGGCTGGGTGACCTTGGCCAG